GGATCCAAATGTGGGAACTTGGAATTTCACTTTGGATAGGAAGGGTTGCCTCTATATTTTGAAGCCATGTGGTGTGAAACTATAAAGAATGGAAGATAGAAGTTGGGGTTAAGAGAATGAGTGTCCCTAAAGGAAGTAGTAACTGCCTATAAGAGCCCACTTATTCTCTGAGGCATCCTGCGCTCCCTGGAGGTCTGTGGGGGGATCACCTGTCTCTAAGATGGCTCAAGGAGTGAAAATGGTACCTAGAGCCTGTTCTGGGGAGGATGCCAACCCCTGCCTTTCTCCTTCGGTCTCTGTTCTTAAGGAAGCCTCTGCTAGTAAGGGAGAGAAGGTCCAGATCACACAGTTGTTGACCTGAGTCATTTCATCACTCATAAAAAACCAATAAGGTAGGTAAGAGTGTAACCTGGGGGGCCATGGAAGATACAATGAATTCAGTTAATGGAGGAACCACTGTGCGATTCCAGGACTTCCGGTGCTTCTGGTCTGGGGTTCTTCTGACACCTTGATTTGCCCCTTGCCTGCAGGAACATCCAATAACTATTACTTGTAATATTTGCTTCCTATACGTTGCTACCCAGTTTCTGCATTACTCACTAGAGGCTCTTCTTTTCCAGTGTCCTACTATGTTGGAACCTTGGGGACTCACACTGAGATCAAGAGAGTGGCAGAGGAAAGGGTCACCTTGCCCTGTCACCATCAACTGGGGCTTCCGGAAAAAGACACGCTGGATATCGAATGGCTGCTCACCGACAACGAAGGGAACCAAAAAGTGGTGAGTGTACAACTGGCCAGACCCCTCGCCTCCCCCGGCTCCCCTCCCCACCCTCCTACAGTCGCCTTCCCTCAGTCCTCCAGTTTTCTGTTTCTTCCATCTGGCTTATAGTTGAAAGACTCCAGATACAAACATTTTAAAAAAGAAAAGGTATTTGGGTCTTAAAGATAAGACAGTCTGTGCTCTTTGGGCAAGCAAACACTCCTAGGAAGTCACCTGTCATTTGCCCAAGGAGGGCATCTGCAGTATTAGCATCTTTCCTAAGAAGGGAGGTAAGATACAGTAGCTTGACTCCCTAGCCAAGTGGCCAGAACCCCAGATCTATACTAGGAAGCCTGCTCCTCCCCATCCTCTGAAACCATTACCACCTGCCTACATGTAAGTTTTGCACAAAGCCATGACTCGCAAGCTCGGAGATTGTATATAATACGACAAACCACATACAACGCAGGACGGGACTGAAAATGTTAACGCTTCAATAATTGGCCAGCAGAAGAATTGATATGGGTTCTGGAGTTGGAAAAATGAAGGAACTGACCCTGGGTCTTCAGTGCTCAGGATGGGAGGTCCGTTGGTGTTTCTGTGCTTTTGGGGCAGTGTCAACAGAGCTTGTAGTGAGTGCTTTGCTCCCAACGATCCGCTGGGCTGGTCTCTACCGAGCGAGAACTAAGTTAGCTACTGTATTATCCTGTCTGACTTGGCTGCATTCAGCCTCTGTACCTTTCCTCCACCTGGCTTTTCTAGCATAACTCTTCCTATTCCATTTACCCACTGACTTTTAAAAATTCTTTGGGTTGAGGGCCACCTGGGCTGGCTCCATTGGTGAAGTGTGCAACTCTTGATCTCGGGGTTGTGACATGGAGCCCCGCATTGGGTGTAAAGATTGCTTAAAAAACAAAATCTAGAATAAATAAATAAATAAAAATCTGTTGGTCGAAAGTTTTGTGATTTAAAAACATCACACAGAATACCAGGGAAGCTGACTTTTTAGACTTTTTGTCCTTTTCAGAACTTTACCTCTTGCCCTACTAAAAAGTGAAAGGTGTCCTTTCTTCTCCTCTGTCTATACCGCTGATTTCATACCATGGTTTGTGCTGGGGGAAGCTAAGGTTTTTATTATTTTTTATAAATTTTTTTAATGTTTTTAATGTTTATTTTTGAGAGAGAGAGAGCGGGCGGCGTGCGCGCGCGCACACACACACACACACACACACACACACACACAAACACGTGAGAGCAGGGGAGGGACAGAGAGAGGGAGACACAGAATCCGAAGCAGGCTCCAGGCTCTGAGCTGTCCGCACTGAGCCCGACCCTGGGCTCAAACACAGGAGCCATGAGATCATGACCTGAGCATAAGCCGGATGCTTAACCTACTGAGCCACCCAGACACTCTTAAAGAAATGATTATTATTATTTTTTTTTTAGAGAGAGAGAGAGCATGCAGGCAGGGGAGAAGGGCAGAGGGAGCACTCAGCACAGAGTCCCACATGGGGCTCGATTCCGTGACCCTGGGATCATAATCTGAGCTGAAATCAAGAGTTTGATGCTCAACTGACTGTGCCACCCAGGTGCCCCAAAGCTAAGATTTTCACTAAAAAAAAAAAAAAAAAAATCCAAGGTAACTGTTGGATTTTAGCTCCTACATCACTTTGTCATTTTGTTCTCATGGTACATCGTCCTGAGACTCTCTGTTCTCTGGAGAGCAAGGTCACCTTAACCTGAGCATATTGATTCCAACGGGGTCTTAGTCAATCATAGACATGATAGTCTCAGTTCTGCATGAAGCAAATAAGAGCCATGTCTGCTAATAAAAATTAAAAAAAAATAAAAAACTCCGCTCATCTAACTTTTTAGCCACGAGTTTTCATTTAAAGAAAAAGAAAGGTTGCATGCTTATGTAGCCAAGCGAATATAAGGCTGAGAAGTTAATTGTTGATTCAAGCAGGCCTTTCAGAGACGTTTGAAGCAGGGACAGTTCCCTACTTGCCTTCAATTCATACTCCTGTCGCAGGATTTTTTTTCTCAATACCCGGGATTCGTTGTCTCACCACTTGGAAGAATGAAGAGGTGGAGGCAGAATGAGAAGCAGGCAGAAGTTTATTAGAGTGGAAAATCAGAGAGTAAGAATAGTGTGGAAGCTCTCTTTCCAGAGAGGGGGCATTTCAAAGTGTGAGTGCCTGCGACCATAGACAAGGGTCCTTGTTTTATAGGGTTCTGGTTGCCACTCCCCTTCCCATCCCCCTCTCGTTCTCTCTCAGGTCACACCCTTTCTGGCTCAATAAGCTCTAAGTGCTGGGTGGTCCATTCCCGATGGCCACCACTGCACTGTATGAGGGGTGGTCTATGGCCATGTCATTCCTTGTGGGTCATATGTTTTATGACTACTTATTTTAGTTAGGTCTTTTATCAAATTCCTGAGGGAATCCTGAGGGGGGTAGGTGGTGTCTCTGACGTTCTTTTTTTTTTTTTTTTTTTTAATGTTTATTTCTGGGAGAGAGACAGAGCATGAGCAGGGGAAGAACAGAGAGAGAGGGAGACACAGAATCGGAAGCAGGTTCCAGGCTCTAAGCTGTCAGCACAGAGCCCGACGCGGGGCTCGAACCCACACACCACGAGATCATGACCTGAACCAAAGTCGGGCGCTTAACCGACTGGGCCACCCAGGCACCCTGGTGTGAGTTATAGTCTTAAGAGGAACTTTAGGCCCAGGGGAGTTTGCTGTGGTCAGACACTCCCAGCGGTGTTCCAAAATATGTGCTTCCCCCCCCCCAACCCCCCAGGGACCTCAGGTCCTATCCTTTCTCTCTCTGCCTACTGAATCCTATCTTTTCCTATCATACTCCAAAGTAAGAATCAATCATTTATTCAGTCATTCAGATTACATGCATTTATTTAGCACCTACCGTATGCCATGGTAGACACTGGGTTACAATACTGAAGAAGATGTCCAAGTCCCTGCCTTCATGGGGCTTACAATGCAGCCATTCCGTGATTTAAAACAAACAAAAAAAATTTTTTTAAGCAGAGAGCACTATTAGCTACTTGCCAGGTTCAAGTTTGTTTAGCACAGATGATCTCATTTAACTTAATCCTCGTAACCAGGATTACTAGTCCTATTTTGCAAAAAAGAAAGGAACCACATACAGCATGTGCACATACACACACACAGTGAGAAAAATGCAGAAGTTCACCCATTTTGCAGTTTGAAATGAGGCACTGTGATGTCAGTACCTGGGCTGTTAACTGCTAGCTATGTTCCTTTCGTAAATAATTTGAAGTTATAATACGTGCTATGTGGGAAATCAGGAGACCGTGGGAAGAAAATTGTTCCAGACAGAACGAATTATGCCAGGGCCCTAATTAATGCTGGAACAAGCCAGGCACTGTTGAACGTTCTAAAAGTTCAAAAAGCAATTTAGGTTAAATTGAATAAACCCTGGATTCCCACTATACACGTACTCTGTCATGAAGGAGGTGGTTGAAGAGATAAATGTGTAAAGAGACAATTTGACATAGATCATGATAGAAGCAGAGCGTTCTAGATGAACATAAAGGAGGAGCCACTGGCCAGAATTAGTTGGAGGAGGGGGAAAGGCCAAGGGCAGCTCCCTATAAGAAGTCACAGCTGATCTGACTGTTGATAGAAGGCACTGCCCTGAGGATCCCCCAAGAGCACAGACGCAAAGGCTGCAATATTCTGGGAAACGGTAAAGTAAGCAGCTAGCACAGGCGGAGCTCAAAACGTAAGCACGCAGAGGTTGCAGGACCAGAACGTGAAAAAGGTCTTGTGTACCATGCTAGGGAGCTCAGATCCTTTTCTATGATGTCATGGAGTTTCTTGAAGGATTTTAGGAGTGAAAGGGACATATATGCATCTCAGATGATCACTCCAGCCCGCGCAGTGCCGCACTGATTTAAAGCAGACTCGAATGGAAGCAAGGTCAGTTGAACAATTTCAAGCTATACAATAAGGGCTTAAACTATAGCCATGGGTAGTTGGAATATCACGATGGGCATAATAAAAATGTAGTGGGTAAATTTGCCACCATGTCCGGAATGAGAGTGAGGGTGGGAAAAAAATCCGGGAGGGGCTGGAACGGAGGTGGTGCCTAAGGTAGGTTAGCCAATGACCTAGACCCCAAGTTTAGCTTTGCGTTTCAATCTGAGCAGAATTGGCTCCACCCCTTTTGTCTAGGATGCTCAGAGGTGCCGGAAACGCTTGGGGGTGGGTAGGCAGTTTGGGGAATATATGAATTTCAGTCCAGGTGGGTAGCATGGCCGCTAGAACTCTGGAGCTTTCCTCTTGGTTCTAGGGATGGGCACATAGTTAATTTCCAAAGTCGGAGTGACCACCTCCCCCCCACACAATGCACATACAATGGAGACCTTTCCCTTCTATTTTTCAGACGAAGAAATTAGGACAGGGATGTTCTCATTCCCCTGCCAGACCTCTCTGGCACATCCTTTCTCCCTTTGCCCCTTTTCTTTGATACCGAACAGGAAAAACCCTCATCAAAACCACAGAGAGGGGCCTACGTTCATTTCCGTTCAAGGCAGTTGCACGATTACTGCGCGGGGCCCTTGGCGCAGCAGAGCCCCTGCTAGAAAGCTGAGCTGCTCCATCTGTTCCATCAGGTCCTAACAAACCGTCCTCCTCCTCTCAAAAATGCGCTGGGAACGGGTCCACCAGGAATGTCAGAAGACAAACAGCCCCACAGCAGCTGCAATTCATGTACTTCATTTGTTGTCTGTTTGCAGAAGGATTGAATGTATGTGCACTGTTCTCCCGTCACACCTGGAACAAGGACTTAGCCTCAGCTCTGGGTTTCCTAGAATTAAAACCACAACAAAGCAGGGCCTCGACGGGCGGGGCTGTGGGAGGAGCAGAGGTGTCTGCCCTGCAGAGGGCGCCCCTAGGGGCTTAGCCTTCAAGAGCTGCCGGTGGGCATGACCGACAGCCTCGCTGAGCGAGCTGGGAGGCCGTTGCTCTCTCCCCA